CAATGTTTTTAGTGGAAAATGTGGAAGATCTTCTACAATTAAGTCACGAGTATCAGGTGAAACAACTCATATTCGACCCTTGTGTGAAGTTCCTCGAGGACCAACCTAAAACAAAAGAAAACGTCATGAAGACTCTGGCGCTGGCAAAATTGTACAACCTGGAGAAGGTACATCAGGGCTGCATCGACCTGCTCAAGAATATGAGACTTGAGTCCCTTTCAGAAACTGTTCATTTGCAAGATCTCGACAAGGAAAAGACACAATATTACCTGACACAAAGGATTGAACGATTAGAGACGATTCTTGACGAAGTGTATCCCCAGTTTTTCGGGTCAGTGGTGACTCTGATGATGCTCCTGTTGTACAGCAATGGTTACCGCAAATTGCCTTCGTGCAGTACGCATGTCTACTGTGGTAAATTTCGTCGACCAGTTTCCTATTTGCAAATCAGAGACTGTCCAGAATGTAAAACCATGTTGAGAGAAATGATTCGACAAAACCCTTATGATGCAGATGACGAGAATCATTTCGACTCTAACCTGTTCTCTGTTATGGAGGATTTCTCCAGGCTAAAGAACTAGTACTGAAAAACTGACGTATCGTCAAGTAAAGAACTACGTACCAGCTCTGAGTATTCGAGCTCGCTCTTATTTCTTACTCAAGCTCCGGTTATTAAGTGATAAAATATAATTTTCTCCGTAAAAGAGAACTATATCTGAGTGTAATCAGCTATGAGCTTAGCAGTGTTCATATAAGGTCAGTAGATTTCAAACAGTTTTACTTATAAATTCATAAGATGCGGTCTCATATCTAAAGAAATAAGTTAATCAGTGACGACAATGCTCAAAGACCAGCAGAAAAATTATATTCTCTGGATTTCTCTTCGGGTGTGGTTCGATTTATTGCCACCGCAGGATTTTGGCGTAGAGACATGCTAGAAGTCTCCGTGTGAATAAGGAGATAAATGGTGTTGTTATATAAGGTATGGGTATAGATGTGTATACAGACTGCATGAATAAATCTCAGTTGAATAGCTCGCTCGCAAAGTAGTCTCGGGTAAAACTTTTTAGGCGCAAGGCTGTATCGGGAAGCTGAGGTAAGGCCACGATGTGTGTTTGGCGGTTGTTTTCTATTCAATATTCATCAAGTTGAGCAAAGGAAAGAATTTGAGAGTACCGGACTTGAAATAATTTGCCCAAAAACTATCGTCGACAGTGTTGATATAGGCTAGCGATATACATGGTATGGTATACAAACTCGATCGGCAACCGAACCTCAAGAAAGCATTACTGATTTAGTTTCACTTCAGCCCAGAAGTGCAGCGCAAATCATCACCTAATTTTCTTTGTATTACACGTTCATTTAACCTGCTAACAGAGTTTCAATATATCGCTGTCCGTTTGTATCTTTTCCAGATCCGGCGGTGACCGCAAATTCCAGTAGTGCCAATCAAGGCCAATTTAAGCACTTAAAGCTGCTCCGATTTCTCAAAATTGGTAGAAACTGCTAGAAATTGCTCAGAATGGAAAAAGCTGCTCGAAACAAAAAAGTTATTCGAAATACAAGAAGTTGCGAAAAAGTTGTGGAAAGTCATATCGAGTGTTCGAGCCCCAGACCGGACCAACATTCAGGGTCTTAAAATAACTGAGGAGAATGTGCGGCTTTTCTGATTATATATATCTGCAAATGGTTAGACGTCCAAGTCTTCTCGGATAAGGAGTAAAAACCTTAGGCCCCGTCTCGTACATCTTCAGTGTTACATGGTTATCAGGGGACGTTGAAGAGTAGGGCACGTAGTTCCCGGTGTTGTGGTCTGGCCTTTTCTCACAGGTTGGTGCTTCACATAGGGTTAAATTCCCTCTTGGACAGA